AAAGAAAGAAAGAAAGAAAGAAAGAAAGAAAGAAAGAAAGAAAGAAAGAAAGGAAGAAAGAAAAAGAAAGAGAAAAAAAGAAAAAGAGAAAGAAGGAAAAAGAGAAAGAAGAAAAAGGAGAGAAAAAAAAGAGAAAGAAAGAAAAGGAAAGAGAAGGAAAGAAAGAAAAGGAAATACAGAAAAGAAATAAAAGGAAATAAAGAAATAAAAGGCAAAAGAATGAAAATAAAGTAAAAAGAAAGGAACGCTCGCCCCCAGGGACCCCACCCCAAGCCAAGTTGCCCCTTGCTGCGTGTGGCAGAAGGGTTGGTGGCCCCAGTGTCCCCCTTGGTGCCCAGCCTGTGCCAGATGCTCCTGTCCCCTGGCTTGCCCTGGGTTTTGCTTTTGCAATGTTGTCCTGGGGTCCTGGTGGCATCGTCGGGGCGGCCACCCCTCTGTGTCCCCATGTCCCCTCCAGGTGTTGAGCGTGGGGAGGGCCGAGCTGTGCCTGGCTGCATCCCGACCCCACGGCCACGCCGGGGAACCCCTCAGGGACCACCCCACATCACACCCCCAAACCCGTCCCCACGGCCACCCCAACGCGCGACCCCGCACCAAGGCGAGCGGCACTGGCCGTGCAAGCAGGACTGTCCCGGCGGCCCCGCTTGGGGCGCGCATGCATGTGCGCGCATGCATGTGCATGCATGTGCATGCGTGTGCATGCGTGTGCATGTGTGTGCGGGCGCGCCGGGCCCCGCTGATTGGCCGAGGGGCCGTCCAAAATCCGCCGTGCGCCGGGGCCGCCGGCTGCCGCGGGTCCCACCTCTCGCCGCCGCCGCAGCATAAAAAGGCAAGCGGGGCAGGGGGAAAAGCAGTAGGAAGTTGCTGCTGGGGTCCGGCTTGGAGCTACACAGTCAAGAGCAGCCCTGTATGACCCGACTCTGAAACAAAGAGGCCCAAAGAGTCTACATGTCTAATATTTAGACATGTTCAGCTTTGTGGATTCTCGGTTACTGCTGTTGATAGCAGCGACTGTGCTACTCACCCGCGGGCAAGGAGAAGAAGACAGTAAGTAGCCGCCGCTCGCTCCGCGCTCGCTTCGATGGGGACTCGAGCGGACGCGGTTGCTTCGACGTTTCTCTCGTTGCTGCTGTGTCGGGGGAGAAGGGAGCGTGTTGGCTTTGGAATTTTCTTGGAGAAAAAGGGGAAAGTAGGAAGAAATGGGGGAATCGAGAGGGTGGCTGCGGCTCTGCAGGGAGGTCCGCGGC